TAGTCCACTTATTCAATCAGGAAGCTCACTGCCTGTACTTGTAGTCCATTTATATTTATATTTTATTCTGCAGGGCGGTGCAGCCGTCTGAGCTGGTTGGCAGCGTCTGGACCAAAGAAGACAAAGAGATTCACTCCCCCAACCTGCTGAGGATGATACGACACACCACCAACCTCACACTCTGGTTTGAAAAGTAAGACCTCACTCTGACATCGCAGACAAACTCATACAATCCTATTGATGAGGTGACTTCAGAGACCCATTACAAAGGGGGGGGAGCACCAACCAATAAGCATATAAATGTACCTGTTCAGTGATTTGTTCTCTGAGATTGAAACCAACCAATGAGATGCTGGAGCATGAAGTGTCACATAATTAAGGAAATAACTCATCCACCTTAATCCACACCCTCCATCTCACCATCAGCTGCAGATCCAACTGAATCAAAATAACAACCCAAAACTTTACTCTCCATCTACGCCACCAAATTCAGTTTGTAATTCACACTTCCAACCACACCTCCAACCAAAACTCCAACCACACCTCCAACCAAAACTCCAACCACACCTCCAACCAAAACTCTAACCAAAACTCCAACCACACCTCCAACCAAAACTCCAACCACACCTCCAACCAAAACTCAAACCACTCCTCCAACCAAAACTCAAACCACACCTCCAACCACACCTCCAACCAAAACTCAAACCAAAACTCCAACCACTCCTCCAACTTCAACCAAAACCACTCCTCCAACTTCAACCAAAACCACTCCTCCAACTCAAACCACTCCTCCAACTTAAACTCAAACCACTCTTCCAACCAAAACTTAAACCAGTCCTCCAACCAAAACTTAAACCACTCCTCCAACCAAAACTTAAACCACTCCTCCAACCAAAACTTAAACCACTCCTCCAACCAAAACTTAAACCACTCCTCCAAYTAAAACTTAAACCACTCCTCCAACCAAAACTTAGACCACTCCTCCAACCTCAACTTAATCCACTCCTCCAACCAAAACTAAAACCACTCCAACCAAAACTTAAACCACTCCTGCAATCAAAACTTTAACCACTCCTCCAACCAAAACTTAGACCACTCCTCCAACTTCAACTCAAACCACTCCTCCAACCAAAACGTGAACCACTCCTCCCACCTCAACTTAATCCTCTCTTCCAACTTCAACTAAAACCACTCCTCCAACCAAAACCTAAACCACTCCTCCAACTTCAACTTAAACCACTCCTCCAACCAAAACTCAAACCACTCCTCCAACCAAAACCTAAACCACTCCTCCAACCAAAACTCAAACCAAAACCTAAACCACTCCTCCAACCAAAACTTAAACCACTCCTCCAACCAAAACTTAAACCAATCCTCCAACCAAAACTTAAACCAATCCTCCAACCAAAACTTAAACCAAAACTTTAACCACTTTCCCCCGTCCTCACTTCCAAACAGTCAAACATGACTTTGATGTCTTACCCGCCCTATCTGATCCTTCTTGCAGGTGTATGGTAGAAACCGAGAACTTGGAGGAACGGGTTGCCGTCGTTTCACGGATCATCGAGATCCTGCAAGTTTTTCAGGAGCTCAACAATTTTAACGGAGTTCTGGAGGTCGTCAGTGCCATGAACTCATCTCCGGTCTACAGACTGGACCACACCTTCGAGGTAAACAACACTTCCTTCTACCTCTGCTGGTCATCGCCAAAAACAAAATCACATTCTATAGTTTTGGTAAAACGTTTACAGACACTGTGATTCCCTTTTTAAATATATAAAATAATACGTGCTGTGTGTTTTTTGTTTTTTTGGTTTCCCAGCAAATTCCGAGTCGACAGAGAAAGATCCTGGAGGAAGCTCATGAGCTGAGTGAAGATCATTACAAGAAGTATTTGGCCAAACTGCGCTCCATCAACCCCCCCTGTGTCCCCTTCTTTGGTACGCTCCGACTCTCATCTGTCTTTTTTTATAAAGGGGGTTTAAACATGATTTATTTTCCGATGTTAAAATAAGGAGTCGCTCTCTCTCGGTTTGTTCAGGAATCTACCTGACCAACATCCTGAAGACGGAGGAGGGAAACCCCGACTTCCTGCGCAGACACGGCAAAGATCTGATCAACTTCAGCAAGAGGAGGAAAGTTGCCGAAATCACCGGCGAGATCCAACAGTACCAGAACCAACCGTACTGTCTGAGAGTGGAGAACGACATCAGGGTCAGTGTTGATGACGATGTCGTCGCCTTACTGTTCACGCTGTGTGTGTTAGTGTCAGAGGTGTGACCGTGTTCTGTGTTTGTTGAAGCAGAAGTTCTTCGAGAACCTGAACCCGATGGAGGACATGTCAGAGAAAGACTTCGCCGATCACCTGTTCAACAAATCTCTGGAAATAGAACCTCGAAACGCCCGATCGTTGCCTCGATTTGTAAGTGTCACCATGGCGACGCCTTGGACACCTGGAAGCAGTCACAGTCTGACTTTAGATAGGAGTTACAGGAGTGATGATGAATCTGTTTTAAATATGTCCATTAACCTCCCCAGGTGAAGAAGTACAGCTGTCCTCTGAAGTCTCCGGGGATCCGTCCAACCTCAGCGAGGCCTGGGACCATGCGGCACCCGACGCCGCTGCAGAACGAGCCCAGAAAGATCAGTTACAGCCGCATCCCCGACAGTGAGGCCGAGGGGGGGGCTATCTCGGCCCCCAATTCCCCCCGCACCCCCCTGACTCCGCCCCCTGCCTCCGCCACCTCCAGCTCCACAGACGTTGGCAGTGTGTTTGACTCGCCGCAAGGTCCCAGCAGCCCCTTTCACTCCAGTAAGACCCCCACCGACACACTATCCCACCAATCACAAGTCTGACATTAACTCCTCCCACCAATCACAGAAGTGTCTGTGTCTGAAGTTCTAACAGTGTCTGAAGTTCTAACAGTGTCTGAAGTTCTAACAGTGTCTGAAGTTCGTAACAGTGTCTGAAGTTCGTAACAGTGTCTGAAGTTCTAACAGTGTCTGAAGTTCGTAACAGTGTCTGAAGTTCGTAACAGTGTCCGATGTTCGTAACAGTGTCCGATGTTCTTAACAGTGTCTGATGTTCTAACAGTGTCCGATGTTCGTGACAGAGTGTCCGATGTTCGTGACAGAGTGTCCGATGTTCGTGACAGAGTGTCCGATGTTTTTAACAGTGTCCGATGTTTTTAAGAGTGTCCGGTGTTTTTAATAGAGTGTCCGGTGTTCTAAAGCTTGTGTTCTCTGGTCTCAGGGTCCTCCTCGGTCTCCTCCATGGTGAGTTTCAGTCGTGGTTCCGAGGACGTTCCTGTTCCTCCTCCTGTTCCTCCTCGCAGACGTCCAGAGTCGGCTCCTGCTGACTCCTCCCCCTCCAAGGTGACTGACACGTATATGTACGAGTCAGATTTTAAAGAATATGCTCAATGTTTCTACCAAGTGTAACTAAACCCCCCCCC